TTGACACTTTAAATGTCATTTCTCAATTCTATAGAATCATGGGAGTTGTAGTTTGATCAATGGTGCACACACTAGAATTACTGCAGCTTGACACTTTAAATGTCATGGCTCGATGCTATGGAATCATGGGAGTTGTGGTTTAATTAAGAGTGCATACCCTAGAATTACTGCAGCTTGACACTTTAAATGTCATTTCCCAATGCTATGGAATTGTGTTGTAGTTTGACTTAGGGTCGCAACTACACCGTGGAATTTATGCTGCGTTAACTGCCACTGCTCAGTGAGTTGTAGTTTCACAAGGTCTTGAGCCTTCTCTGTCAAAAAGCGCTGGTGCTTCAGCAAACTACAAATCCCAGGATTCCAGAGCATTGCTCCTTGGCAGCTAAAGCGATGTTGAACTGTGTTAATTCTGCAGTGTAGATCAGGCATGGGCAAGCTTTGGCCCTCCAGGTGTTTTGGACTTCAACTCCCACAATTCCTAACAGCCAGTAGGCTGTTAGGAATTGTGGGAGTTGCAGTCCAAAACACCTGGAGGGCCCAAGTTTGCCCATTCCTGTGTAGATGCACCCTTTCTGCTAAAAATCCTGGTGTCTCACCAAACTACAAATCCCAGGGTTCCATAGCATTGAGCCGTGACAGCAAAAGTGTCAGACTTTTAATTATACAATGAAGATGTTTTGTTTGTTGTGGGTTCCTTTCCGTGCTGCAAAGGGACAGGTGCCCTGCCAGTCAGTGTCATTTTAAATGAGTTATTCCTGGAAGGTTCCCTAATAAGAAGCAATCCTGATTCCATACAGAAAAGCCTTGTTAGACACAAAAAGGTGGCATTTGGGAGGCTAAAGGGCACAAAAGTTAACTTTTTTGGGGTGGCCTGACATCCCAGCCAGAGCCAAGAGTAGGATGTCTATACACGCTCAGCCGCAGGGAGGGAGATCGCTGTTTGGATGCTGGGGCTGCATGCTTTGTTTGGGTGGGAAGCTGGGTGGGGTGAAGTGGCCTGCTGGGTTTAGGAGCTGGGTTTATGTCTGGAGGCTGAAGGATAGGTTTTTAGTCTGAGTTACCTAGCTGGAAAAGGCTTGCAGCAATCAAACAGGCATTTAGATTTGAGGAAATGGTTGCTTTGCTACGAGGACATGCATGCTATTAAAGCTTCAGGACTCGTATTTGAATACATCAGAATATAGCATCGATTTATTGTGCTCACGTTGCTGAGAATTTTTTCCCCCTCAACACACATGGAGGTGGGATTATTTTCAATTAAATTTCTGAATGGGCAGATCATACCAAAAGAAGCTTGGCGAAGGGTAATGTTCCCATTGTCAACCTTATTTTAGAAACAAAAACTTGCTTTATGTACAGTAAACTCAGTTAACCAGCACCCATGAGGATTGATAGAAGCTGGATAAATCTAGTTTGTGATTGCTTAAAAGTTGTTATTACAAATAGGCCTAAATAATACTATATATAATACTGTAAAAGGCAAAGGTTTCTCCTGAAATTAAGTCCAGTTGTGTCCGACTCTGGGAGATGGTGCTCATCTTCATTTCTAAGCCATGACCTCCAAGGTCATGTGGCCAGCATGACTGTATGGAGCGCTGTTACCTTCCCCCAGATGCATTACCTATTGATCTGCTTACATTTGCATGTTTTCAAACTAATTGGTTGGCTGCTGGCAAAAACATGCAAATATGGGTAGATCAATAGGTACCATACCATAAACTCTGTACCATACTATAAGCTCTGTATTGAGGTGATCTTAGTATTGAAGTACAGTAATTAAATGCACATAAAGACAAACTTAATGTAACACAGTTTTACTCTATTATTAAAATTGATCTTATTTTAATATTTTATTTAAAATATTATTTCTTCAAATTTTTTTGCTAGTTGCTTGAGAGTCCCATGCAGTCATGCCAGCCACATGACCTTGGAGCTGTCTATGGACAACACCGGCTCTTCGGCTTAGAAATGGAGATGAACTCCACACCCCAGAGTCAGACATGACTGGACTTAATGTCAGGGGACAACCTTTACCTTTACTGAGAGTTGCAGTTGCTTGAATTCTGGTTAACTGAGAATCCACTGTATAGTTCACTGATATAAAGTGGACTCTTGGTTAACTAGAATTAAATTTTTCTTATGATCAAGTTGCTAAAAAAATTGCCCCCCCCCCCCCCATTTGGAGCTAAGATTATTTTCAATTATGGGTAGATCATACCAAAAGTAGTTTGGTGAAAGGGTAATGCATTCTCTTCAATCTTATTTTTAGAAACAAAAACTTTCTTTATGTACAGTAGGTTTTCAGTTAACTACGGGGATTGGTAGCCGTTGGTTGCTTGAGAGTTACTATTAAAAACAGGCCTAACAAATACTATAGCCTATAGTATACCATAAAAAGGTAAAGGCTTTCCCCTTGACATTAAGTCCAGTTGTGTCCAACTCTGGGGAGTGGTGCTCATCTCTCTTTCTAAGCCAAAGAGCCGGCGTTGTCCATAGATGCCTCCGAGGTCATGTGTCCGGCATGACTTACCTTCCCATCAGAGCGGTACCTATTGATCTACTCACATTTGCATGTTTTCAAACTACTAGGTTGGCAGAAGCTGGGAGCCTAACAATGGGAGCTCACCCCACTCCTCGGATTTGAACTGCCAACCTTTCAGTTAGCAAGTTCAGCATCTCAGCGATTTAACCCACTGCACCACTGGGGGTATACCATGCCATAAAGTATATGTTGAATTGATATTAATATTTAAATACAGTAAATAAAAGCAAATATAGTGTTCCGTTGCTACTTCACAGTTCATTTTTCGTGGACTCGCTGTTTTGCGGGTTTTTGAAAATATTAATAAAAATATAAAATATTAAATATGTATGTCCACTGGAGGCCAGGGACCCCAGAAGTGCAGTGGTCTGAGGCACGACAGGGAAGGCCTGCCTCCCTAGCCTCTACAGACCCCACAAGTGTGGCGGCTTGAGGCACGGCGGGGAAGACCTGCCTCCCTAGCCTGCTGCTGCCTGCGTGGCTCTGGAGGCTCTGTGGAGGCCAGGGAGGCATGGGTCAGGAGGTGGGTAAGGAAGCACAGGTAAGAAAATAATATATAAAATAATGTATAAATATTAAAATTAATATGGCGTCCCTACTTTTCAGATTTTCACTTATCGCGGGTGGTCCTGGAGCGGAACCCCCATGATAAGTGAGAGAACACTATGATAAAAACTGACTTTATTTTAATTTTTTATTTAAAGTACTATTTTTGCCAGTTGCTTGAGCTCCAGTTAACTGATAGTCTAACTGTATACATCTATTTTGCTTATGCTCAAGTTGCTGGGAATTTTTCCCCCTTGACACACTTCTTTTTAATTAATCTTCTAAATAGGCAGATCATACCGAAAGAAGCTTGCCATCTTCAACCTTATTTTAGCAACAAAACTGGCTTTATATACCTTTACACTGTATTTGAAGATAGCTGTTTAAAGTTCTGCAGCCAGCCAGGATGGAAAAATCAGTTTTGGTCCAGGTGGTGTTAAATATTGATAGATGGAATGTTGCTTCAGACTACGATGGAATTAGGGACAAAAGGAAAGGCTTAGTGGAGACAATGTGATATATTCCTGGTTCATATCGTTGGTGCCTGATAAGAGACAGGCTTTTCCAATTTTTCCAAGTCTCTTATTTTCCAGACAAAATAATCAGAAATGTATGTAAATCCACACTGGTTTGTAGGCATTGAAAGCCAGGCAACTTTTGTGAGCTCTCCCTGGCCAAACTTGGCATGCAAGTGGTTTTTTGAGAAGGCCACCTACATTAGAGGAGGAATTTTGGATTAAGTGCTACCTCTGTTGAGCTGGGATGTGGGTTGCTAGGAAACTAACATCAGAACCAAAAAGGCAATAAGGTATTAATGAAGGAAAGACTATTTCGGTGGTAGTGGACAGTTCAGTAACGGTGTCAAAAATTCTCAGGTATGCCCTGAGGTTAAAATCACATATAGAACAACTGTTTCCATGGATGGATATATTCTTGGACTTCACATTAATATGTGAAATGAGTGCTAATATTGAAATGAAGGCTATTTAACCTAAGAAAATCAGAGTCTCTCTGGAAGACCTGAAAAATGCCTAGAGAGGATAAATGACATGGATAAATGAAACTGCAGGTTGCAGCCCTGCAGATACAGGGGCTGTACTGTATTGTACAACGGACTGCAGAAATTTCTGTTTTAAGGCTTTATAATGGCACGAACTACAGTAATCAGGTCATCGTGAATTTAGTGAAAAATCGTCAAGTGTCTAAAATTTGAGGTATCAAAAGTCTTTATCCACTCAAATCTCAGTTTGCCATTATCCCAGTTATCTCTGGATGTTTTAAAATTACAAGAACATTTTAATGTGTTGTTGAAGGCTTCCATGGCCGGAATCACAGGTTTGTTGTGAGTTTTCCGGGCTGTATGGCCGTGTTCCAGAAGCATTCTCCTGAGGTTTCGCCTGCATTTATGGCAGACATCCTCAGAGGTTGTGAGGTCTGATGGAAACAAGGAAAATGGGGTTTATATTTTTGTGGAGTGTCCAGGGTGGCAGAAAGAACTCTTGTCTGTTCGAGATAGGTGTAAATGTTGCAGGCGAAACATCAGGAGGGAATGCTTCTAGAATGTGGCCATACAGCCCAGAAAGCTCACAACAACCCAGTATTTTAATGCTTTTGCTTTTATACACCCATTTCTTATCATGGCGAATACCTTGGGTACAGAAAGATAAGCAGATGGACTGTGCTAGCCAAAGTCAAAACCACATTCTCGGTTTTGTACATATGGTTTTGGGAGAAGAGCATAATTATAGTGTTAGCCAGGTTTTATTGTGCCTCTGCTGAGAAAGTTTTATTCTCTGTATTATTAAAAAATCTCATTTTTTGTATTTTAAATATATACTTCAAAAATGCACATCTTATGATGCAATTAGATCCCCCCCCCCAATGTACAACATCCAATTTTGTTTAAATCCAGGGGAAGTTTGAATGATGTGATTGAAATTTGGTGCATACATGCCATGATTTGCTACAAATGGCTTAATGTGAGTTGATCAATTAATTACCAATCATTTATGGATATAATGTAATGCATGCTTTTGTCGTTTGTTCTGTAAGATGGAATATGTGACCGTCTTCTGTGCCAGTCCTTATATATATATAACAAATAATCTGACAGCTTCTCTGTTAATTATTTGCCGAAATTAATGCGGTGTGTTTGTCACATTTGGGTAGCTGTGACTTCTTTTTATATCTATTTTAGCCTAGTCGTAGAATGTAGTCAACATAAATACGTCAGTATAAATAAGATGACAAGACTACTAGTATTCAGAAATTAAAAAGTTAAATAACTGAAATAGTGCATCATCAATAGTACAGCAAGGACAAGTAAATAAATGATGAAGTAACGCTTAAGTAGGAGGTATATTGTAGAAAAATGAATAATTGAAGCATACTTGCAGAATTTTAAAATACCCATTTATTGGAACATGGCATGGATAAGCTAACAGTGCATCCTAACCCATTCATCTCAGGATGCATATATTCAGGGTAATGGAAAAATATCCTAAGAGTCTTCCACTTCTTAGCAATTCAAGCAATTTCCTTGTTTATTATAATTAGGAAGACATTGTCATTATGTTGCAGTGAGAATGGTATCCTTGCAGACAGAGCTGACCCATTGCTCAGCTGGGATATGCAATCTTAAATACAAAAGTCAACATCATTGAAATTACAGAATGTGCTTCTGGGTTTTGAATTAGAATTTCATTAGATTTATACCTGGTTATGTGAGGAGGAGGAGGAATGATTTATTGTTGTGCATCAACCCTAAGGTCACTCTTTTGTTTTCTGAGGCTGAGGGCATATGAACTGCCCAAGGTCACTCATATGCTAAGTATAACCTAAATTTTAATATCTTGTGTTGTATATTTTTCTGCTAGTTTCACATCTTTCTGAAATGATTCCCCTCACTCCTTGTGGAGATAATCCTTCTAAGGCCCTTTCCACACAGCTAAATCAAATCCCACGTTTTCAGCTTTGAACTGGAATATATGGCAGTGTGGACTCAGATATCCCAGTTCAAAGCAGATATTGTGAGATTTTCTGCCTTGATATTTTGAGTTTTATGGCTGTGTGGAAGGGAGATACATTAAATAGGGTGGTGAGAAAGCAGCTAGTGTTCATTGGAGATTCAACCCTCACCCCCAATTGACATTAACTTCCCAACTATGAAGATGGTTTAATGTGTAAATATGTTCAAGTTGCTGTGGGCCATGGTGAAAAATCACAGAGGGCCCTTCCATACAGCTCTATATCCCAGAATATCAAGGCAGAAAATCCCACAATATCTGCTTTGAACTGGGTTATCTGAGTCCACACTCAGATAATGTGGGATTTTTTGCTTTGATATTCTGGGATACAGGGCTGTGTGGAAGGGCCCCAGTCACTATTAGCAGACATTCCACATTATCTTCTTTGAACTGGATTATATGAGTTTACATTGCCATATAATCCAGTTCAAAGCAGATAATCTGGATTATATATAGAGGTGTAGAAGGGGCCTGAGGCTACAGATGTATTGGTCACACATTGCCAATGATTAGAAAAAAAACGTTTGTACTATGTTTGTTGATAACTGTAAAATTATCTTTATGAAAAGAGAGAAAAATATTAACATATAATACATGTTCAGCCTGCATGTTTCCTGATATAATTCCTGAGCCAATCATTCTGATTTCATTCCAAATTAATTGAATTCATGTCATTTCTCTGAGGGCTCTTCCACACAGCCCATATAACCCAGAATATCAAGGCATAAAATTCCACAATATCTGCTTTGAACAGGGTTATTTGTGTCCACACTTCCATATATTCCAGTTCAAAGCAGAAAATATGGATTTTATTCAGCTATGTGGAAGGGGCCAGACAAAGCCTGTTCATGTTTAAAACAAATAGGTACATGTGCTTCCCAAACTTACATATGATATGTATGAAGGAAGAATGAAATGCATTACACCACCAGTTTACAAATTGTAGCAGTTGGCTGGTGAACATCTCCACTAGTCTATAGAAAAATTGCATCTCCTTTCTGGTGTAGCACAAGACCACGTCTGGTATTGAATACCTAGGGTCATGCATATCTGTGTGCAGGAGGCTTAAAACTAACAAAAAGCTCAGGATCATTGTGATAGCTAAGGGAGTAAATGCAACTTCCATCCAGATTGCTACTTCCCAGTTGCTATTAGCAGTTGGAATACAGCAATCCTAGATGTCTGGGAAGAACATCCCACTCATGAGAGGAAGTGGGTTGTACAGAAAAGTAGGATTGATACCCAGCCTGCAGACTTCAGCAGGTTCCCCACCTGGATTAAGTTTGCTTCTGGAGCTGGGGGGGGGGGGTTCTAAGTGGGACTGCTATGTGACCAGATGGTACAAAGATGAGGACCTGTCCTACTTCTGTTTTGTAGGAAAGAAAAACTTACCTGCTTACAGACACTGCCTTGTAGAGTTAAGCAATAGAGAAGGGCAGATACGTTGCCAACCAAGGGAGGAGTTCATGTTAGTCAGGGTACAGCCATTCAAGTTATATAGGATAGAGAGAAAGATCCTTCTCTGTCTCACCACCTTCTCGGGTTCAAGTGGTGGGAACAAGAAGAGGACCGCTTCCAGATTTTGGAACTCTCTCTCTAGAAAAGTCAGACAGGTCAAATATTTTTGTACCATCAGGTTTTTACAGACAGACTAGGGTTATGTTTTAAGGTTTGTATGTAGTCTTTAATGCATTTTGATATTTTCAGTGATTCATGTTTTAACTCCACGGACTGTTGATTTTTAAATCTTATATTTATACTTTTATTCGTGCTTTTGTATTATTTTAAATATTTTTTTAGCTCATTTGAATTCCATTATCAGGAGAAAGATTATATTTAAATGCATAAAATAATAATAAATAATCCTAGATGTGGTCTCTCCAGTTTTGAAGGCAACACAGAGTTTCATCAAGCATTTCTTTCCGGGGGTGGAGGTAGCACACCACCAGTTTAAATCATCAAATCCAAGCCCTCCAGTCTCAATCACTGTTGTGGAAAATGACTCTGAAACTAGAGTTAACTATTGAGCATATTTAGTTAATCTAGCTATAGTTGTTTCAGTGGCAAAAGAGAAGGAAAACAACCACTCCCTTCTTCTCAATTGGCTAAATACTCAATATCATTATAGTAGTAAAATAATAAACTGTTTTAGCAAAACAAAAAAGAAAAGCTAGGAACTTATAAATGTAGCATTAAATATGTTCTGAGTTCTTTTTCTCAACTGTCAATAGTGAAGCAAATTAAATACTTTTACTAAGGTAAAAGGTAATATTTCTGGCTTAGAAAACTGAAAAGGCATTTCCCAAGAGTGGACAAAAAATAAAACAGAAAATCTTACATTTTATTTTAGAAAACTGGACAATATTTGCAATATGTGCAGTACAGTCCCTTGCACGTTTTCTTGAAAGTAGTATCCATTTTGTTCTGAGATGTCTTTGTGAGTTGAGTGTTACCATAGTACCTTGATGTGTGACAGAATTGACATGTGCATATATATACTTACATTTTAATCTATTTTTCTTTTTATTAGTTATGGAGACCAAAGGCTATCGCAGTTATCCTGAAAGCTTAGATATGGAGAGACGCTGGAGTCAAGGTTCCCAGTCTATGGAGTATACTTCTGCAGGAGCAGAAGAGCCAACTGAAGAAAGAAACAACTATATGGAGATTGTCAACGTGAGCTGCGTATCTGGTGCTTTTCCAAACAACAGTGCTCAAGGAAGCAACAAAGAAAAATCTGAACTACTTTCTTGCCTACAGCAAGATCACAATCAGCCTGGAATTTCAGTCTCTGACATAAAAACTGAACCAGACTCGAAGGAACTTTCTGCAACAGTAGCTGAATCAATGGGTTTGTACATGGATTCTGTAAGAGATGCTGATTTTACCTATGATCAGCAAAATCAACAAGGAAGCCTAAACGCGGGAAAGATGTATCAAAATGTTGAGCAACTGGTAAAGCTATACAAGGAGAATGGCCACCATACCTCTCCCTTGAACTCCTCAAGCAGGCCCTTGAGACCCTCCATAGACTGTGCAAACTCTATGAATGGCAGCATCATGCCTCCAATCATGAAGAGCCCTAGAGTAACTCAAGAGAAGAGTCCTCCTGACTGTAGTCCTCAAAGTATGACTTCTTCGGTGTGCAGCCCTCCTGGAATTAATTCTGTGTCTTCAACTACACCCACTAACTTTGGAAATTTCACAGTCAGCAGTCCAGTCAACCAGGGAACACCTTTGTCATGCTCACCCAACATTGAAAACCGGGGCTCGATGTTGCACAGTCCTCCACATGCTAGCAATATGGGGTCTCCTCTTTCTAGTCCTATAAGTAGCATGAAATCACCAATTTCAAGCCCTCCTAGTCACTGTAGTGTGAAATCTCCAGTTTCAAGTCCTAATAATATTACCATGAGATCCTCTGTATCCAGTCCTGCAAATATGAACTCAAGGTGCTCTATTGCCAGCCCTTCCAATGCCAATAATAGATCCACTCTTTCTAGCCCGGCTGTTAGTACTGTAGGGTCCTCTATGTGTAGTCCGGCAAATGGTGCACTATCTTTTCCTGCATCTAGCACACCTGTTGGACCTGGCACAGGCCAAGACATTGTTTCTAGTCCAGATACAAAGGACATAAAAGGTGCTCCACAACTTCTATTTCCTAAAACAGAGGAAATAGAAAATGCCATCTCTAACAATGAAGTAGCTAATCAAATGAATCTCGTTCGGTTCATAAAGCCTGAACCAGATGGGGTGTTCAGCAGCTCCTGTCTTGGAGAAAACAGCAAAATCCATTCTGAGCCCCCATTTTCAGTATCAATAAAGCAAGAATCAGCTAAACATTCTTGTTCTGGTGCTCCTTTTAAAGGGAATCAAACTGTAAATCCATTTCCATTTATGGATGGGTCATATTTTTCTTTCATGGATGATAAAGACTACTATTCTCTATCTGGGATTTTAGGACCACCTATTTCATCATTTGATGACAGATGTGAAAACAGTGCATTTCCAAACCCAGGCCTATCTGTAGGAATTAAGCAGGAGCCTGAGGAGAGCAGCTATTATCAAGAGAACACTCTGCCATCCTCCGCCATTGTTGGTGTGAATTCAAGTGGACAGTCATTTCACTACAGGATTGGAGCTCAAGGCAGAATATCTCTATCGCGGCCTCTTGGTAGAGAGCAGTCTTTTCAGCACATGAGCTCTTTTCCTTCAGTAAGTACTCTAGTGGAGTCATGGAAATCACATTCTGAACTGTCTGCCAGAAGAAATGATGGGTATCCAGTTCTAGAATACATTCCAGAAAATGTGTCAAGGTAGGTGTGCTTTACTTACACCGCCGGTACTCTCTGCTCATGTGTGGCAGAATGTTTTGCATGATAATATTATTTAAACTTCATAATTATACATGGCTTGGCTTAGGGGATCCCTTATAGGCCGAGGATGATGGTCCTCCAAGTGCAGTGTCTTGGTGGTGGGTCCATAGATGGCTGTGGAGCCCTATTCTTGATCCACATGTTCTCCCATAGTGAGGGCACCAGTTTCCAGATGGAAGGCAGCCCCTGTCAGGGTTGGTTTGATGCACCTTCCTCTTGGCACATTTCTCCCTTTCGCCTTCAATTTGTGCCTCTTTGAATTTTCCAGCACTGCTGGTCACAGCTGACTTCCCGCTAGAGCACTCAAGGGCCAGGGCTTCCCAGTTCTTGGTGTCTATGCCACAGTTTTTAAGGTTGGCTTTAAGCCCATCTTTAAATCTCTTTTTCTGTCCACCAACACTATGTTTCCTGTTCCCGTAATTTGACTGTGAACATGCCAGATTTTAGTACTGGCCGACATATTCACTCAAGCAGTATGTTAATAATTTGAATTTGCTAAGAATGTTTTATATTTCCACTTATTTTATTGGTGGCATCTCAGCAGGCTTCCAGGTTTCAAGTATCATTGTATGGAGAACGCTGGCATGAAGGTTGAACTGATAAACAATTGTTCTCAGTGCTTTTCGGCTATTTACTAAAAGTATGAATTTAAAAATATTGAGTGCCTATCAGGGTTTCTTTCATGATGTTTCTGCAATTGCCAGTGTGCTAAGGTTCCAGTGGGCTAAAATTAGAAAATCATAGAGGCTTTTAGCAACGTATTTCACCATTTACTGATTTTCAAGGACTCTCACTTAAATGCGTGTGTGCTCTGAAATACCTCTTGAAAGTAGGATAGAAAAGCCTAATTCCTTTTGAAACGGCTCTGGGGTTATAATATAAAGCAATTCTGTCTGTTCAAAACAGTGTGTGATTATTCATGGCATAACAGAATGGCTACTTTGTATACAAGCCTGAAACCATAGTCCTGCTTACCCAAGGCCAGACCCATTCAATTCTTCAGGACTATCCCACAGTTGTCGTACTTGTACACAAAAGGATTAACCTTTATACTATAGGAGTGAGTGCTAAGAAACTGAGATTGTGCTAACCCGTGTTTCAAATGATGTCATGGCAAAATCTAAAGGTCTTTTCTTCGTACTACTATTTCTGGATCTTTGTTCAGGCTTTGATAGCTGCTTCATCTTTCCCCCCCTTCTATTGTTGCTCCTCTTACATTGTGTACTAATTTCTTGTAGTTGTGTGATTCCTACATCTCTGTGTCAGACACAAATTCATTTTAGATTACCCATGCTTCCATATTTTAAAATAAGGAACCAATTCATTCAAGGGTGGAGGATTTCCAGGTGGAACCCTACTGAGGAATAGATGGGATGCAGAATTATTTCCATTGCCTCTTTTATATGTTGCCCAGATTATCCAACAAAGCACTATGATCTAGAATGGGAAAATGGAGATACAGGGGAGAGAAAGATTGTTTCTCCTTCTCCTTCTCTAAAGTAAATGTTAAGGTTTTTTAAGGGACTGTGATTTAATTTAGAGGCATTTGAGTGTAAGTTGTAATTAGCATGGCGGACTGATGGCTTAGATGCCAGTAAGGGAAGAATACAGGCTCTTGCTAACTTTTATCTACTTAGGCGATCCCTCGTAGTCTGAGGATGATGGCCCTCCAAGTATAGTGTCTTTGTGATGGACACATAGGTGACTGTGGAAACCTCTTCTTGACCCACATATTGTTCCGCAGTGAGGACATCAGTTTCCAGGTGGAAAGCGGTCCCAGTCAGGGTTGGCTTGACATGCCTTCCTCTTGGCATCTTTCTCCCTTTCACACTCCATTTGTGCCTCTTTGAATTCCACAGCACTGCTGGTCACAGCTGACCTCCTGTTAGAGTTCTCAAGGGCAAGAGCTTCCTAGTTCTCAGTGTCCATTCCACAGTTTTTAAGGTTGGCTTTAAGCCCATCTTTAAATCTCTTTTCCTGTTCACCAACATTACATTTCCCATTCTTGAGTTGGGAGTATAGTAACTGCTTTGGGAGATGGTGATCAGGCATTCGGACAATGTGGCCAGTCCAGCGGAGTTGATGGAGGAGGAGCATCGTTTCAATGGTGATGGTCTTTGCTTCTTCCAGCATGTTGATATTTGTCTGCCTGTCTTCCCAAGAGATTTGCAGGATTTTTCAGAGACAATGCTGATGGAATCATTCCAGGAGTTGAGTATGACGTTTGCAGTCAGTCCATGTTTCGTAGGCATATAGTAGAGTTGGGAGGACAATAGCTTTATACATAAGCACCTATGGATGTGCCACTCCTCAAACAATATTGCTTCATTTGGAAAAATGCTGCACTTGCAGAGTTCAGGCGGTGTTGTATTTCAGTGTCAGTGTTGACTTTTGTGGAAAGGTGGCTGCCAAGGAAGCGGAAATAGTCAACATTTTCTAATGTTACACCATTAAGCTGTATTTCTGGCATTGCAGAGAGATTGACTGGTGGAAGAGCACTTTAAAGGACCTATCCAAAGTTGTGAACTGTTTCTGAAAATGAATTCTACACCTTGCTAGCTCCATTATAGTTTAGGCTAAAAGATAGAGCAGATTTACCATCCAGTTTCATTGCAGCCATAAGGATTAGGCCAAGCTTCCACAGCTGATGCCTTGTATAAGTTTGGGTTTTCATCTATCATGATATCTGGCCATTTTTACATTATCTTCAGATGATGAGAGTTATAGCAGCATCTATGTCATATTGGAAAAGGCCTGTGATCACATTCAAGGATACGTTTCTATCGAGGCCATTTCCTCATCATTCATTACATATTTTCTTTCATTGCTATTATTGATTCATATGATTTCAAACATGATTTTTATGCCAGTGGTTTCTAAACCTATTGTTGCATACCTTTTGTTATGTACTCCTTTCCCTCTTATGCTGGCTTCTGCTGTTTTCTTGGCTGTTTTTTTTAGTGGAAGAATGCCCATTTCTTCCAACTTCCAACTGTTTTTAAAAAGTTCTTATTTTTCTTCTTCCTTTGGCATACTTTCTAAGTATCTTTCTCTTGTTTTATCCCTTTATATAGTCTTCTTTAAGATTTCTGATTTATTGACTAGATTGATATTTATAACATTCTATAAAGAACCACATAATACAGAGATACGTAAAGTCATGTTGGAATTGTATCAAAGTTAGTACACAGAATGCAGTCACGTCGGGACTTTATACTATGTAGCAATCACCATCCAGAAACGAAGATTTGAGAACAGAATTGTGTACACTTCAGAGGTTTCTCTTCTTCTCAGAGACTTTATAGTGGCAACCAGGGAAAAAGAAGTTTTATTTGTCCATCAATAAAATGTTGCAGGTTTGAATCCAGGGAGCGGCGTGAGCTCCCGCTGTTAGCCCCAGCTTCTGCCGACCTAGCAGTTCGAAAACATGAAAATATGAATAGATCAATAGGTACCGCTCTGGCAGGAAGGTAATGGTGCTCCATGCAGTCATGCCGGCCACATGACCTTGGAGGCTTAGAAATGGAGATGAGCACCAACCCCCAGAGCCGGACACAATTGGACTTAATGTCAGGGGAAAACCTTTATCTTTACTAAAACATTGTTTTGATTCACACCCCCCCCCCCCAAAGTTTTTTTCTTTGGACATTTTCTTTTCTCTTTCACACTGCTATTTTAAATTACCTTTGCTTTGAAAAATCAGAACTAATAAAAGTGTTCCAGTCAAACTCTTAAAGAAGAACTTTATCACAAAAGAGTTATTATCCTACTACTTGGTTATTGCCAAATTCTTTGCCCAATATATTATAGTGCTAGAACACATATTTCATATACTTTTAAATCTTAAAATTCCCCCAGAAAAGAAACCCTAATTATCACAGTATATCATAGTACAAGGTCACGTTCAACGGTAAGCTAAACTCTTCTGAGAAAGTCATGACCTTTTTATCTGAAAAAGGTAATTCTACTATTATGTTAATAAATCATCAGATTGCTTTGGATCACTCAAGAAACTGGAGCCTGCTTGCTATATTTCCAATATTTTCTTCAAGATGCATGCATTCAGAGTTGGATAACTTTTTCTCCAGAATAGATCTAATGGGAGTTGCAGTCCAGTAATATCTGAAATTTGTTCAAAGTCATAAAGGAGAGGAAAGTGAATTTGCTATTATCTGCCTTATAGAATTACACATAGTGCCTCAATGGCATATATACAAAATATACCTAATTATTTTAAATATTATAGTTACTTGCAGTCTGCCTAGCACACTATTCAGTGCAAGAATTTTGGAATTTGGGGAATGGTAAAATAGATTAATGCTCTCACTTCTTCTGATTTAACTTTGTTGCCTAATTATATTGTAGTAAAGGTAAAGGTTTCCCCCTGTCATGTCTGACTCTGGGGGGTGGTACTCATCTCCATTTCTAAACTGAAGGGCTGGCATTGTCTGTAAATGTCTCCTAGGTCCTGTGGCCAGCATGACTGCATGGGGCGCCATTACCTTCCCACCAAAGCGGTACCTGTTGATCCACTCACATTTCCATGTTTTCAAACTGCTAGGTTGGTAGAAGCTGGGGCTAACAGCAGGAGCTCACCCCATTCCCCAGATTCGAACTGCAGACCTTTCGGTCAGCAAGTTCAGCAGCTCAGCAGTTTAACTTGCTGCACCACCAGGGGGCCCTATTATTAGACCTACTTATTAGTACCAAACACAATAGTTCCATTGAATCACTTCTTGTATTCTCACTGTATCTATGGATTTATTCTAGTTAGGATTGACAATTGGATTCTGAGCATATTAATGGATGTCTAAAGTCATTAGATGTACAGATATTCTATATAACATGATGAAGCTCTTTTCAGCTTTGAATTATTCCTTTAAATGACTAGTTTGAATATTGTTGCATGATTTGGATATGAGACCATGGCTCAGCATTTT